TAAATTAATGGAATCGTTATTATGAAAAAATCTTGGTCTCTTTATTTTTTTATTATAGCGTTGAAATGTTATTTAAGTAAATCGAATTGAAATTAATGAGTGCAAAAGAGTGCATTTTCTTAACTTCTTAACAATAACAATAATTATAATGTTGAAATCTTATTTAAATTATATGATAAAAGATAAAATAACAAATTGATATGAAATAAAATCGTAAAATAGTAAAATAGTAAATAGAATTGAAATCAATGACAATAGTGCATTTTTTTTATTAAAAGTATATTTTCTTCATTATATTTTTCTTTATTCTATAATGCATAATATATATATTATAATATTATATTATATAATATTAAACTGTAATAAAATTATAGTATCAAAATAAATTTAAATCAACTGATACGTACAAGTGCATTTTCACTTCTTTATTTCATATGATATAATTATTAATAAAATGTTAATTCGATTATTCATTATATAATCTTGAAATGGATTATTAATAAATCAAATTCAAATTAATGGTAGTAAGAACTTGTTCTTTTACTTCAGCAATGTCCACGTGACAGTAAGCGTGGTGGTCATCATTGTGAGAGGTTATCGACCATATAATATAAAAAACATAGTCATCCATGCAAAGATCTTCTCATAGTTGATACCTGATCAATAGGAAATTATTCGAAGAAAAAGAATATATATGAAACCGTTTACATTATAAGAGATGAGATTTGAAAAACATTGGCTGCTTTCGTTTCTCCAATGTCTTATTCAATCATTTAAATTGAACGATGACGCGTGTCGAGATATAAATAAATGTACATATATGGAAAATGTTTTAATAATATGACAATAATTGTAGCGATGTGAATTTATATTTTATAATATAGAAAATATTTAATTCTTAATTATGACCATACATCATGTATATTTGTAATTCTAAGAATAATTTTTAATATTAAAATTCAATATATATAAAAAGAAAATGAGACAGCAAATTGATATACTTAAATTAAATAATTATTATTAATATATAATTATTAATATTAAATTAAAAGTTAATGTTAATTGCATCTTAAATAATTATAAAGTTTTATGTTGTAAATTACAATTTTATATACTTATGATAGTATATTTAATAAATTATAGCAAAAAAAAAAAATTACAATTCAATTGATTAAAAGCATTTTGATAATTTCTTCGCAATATAAATTTTTTTCTCTTTTTGAAATTTTTTATACAATTTTATTAAATCATAATAATGTAAGTAATTTAGTTTTAACGTAATATTGATAAAAAAAATGTAATGATGCTTACGTTTACTTTTAATAAGTGGACTGATTGAATATTTATAATATATCGTATTTTTATGAATACAATTAATTGTACACATCTTAATTTTTAGCATTTTATTTAGAAATATGTAAATATATTTCAAATATCAAATTCTATTCTTTAATTGTATATTCTGGATTTTCTCATTTTAAAAAAAAATTATTATCTGAAAAAGTTTTACAACGAATAATATAATCATCAATTTGTTATTGAAATGAAAGAATATAATGAAACTTATGTATGTATCAATGCCAGTTAAATAACTTAATTTTTCATTGATTGTTTTTGCGCTTCATGATTATTTATTGTTGTATAATAAAAAAGTGTAAGAGAAAAGAATTTTTTTCAATAAATTTATATAAATAATAGAGATTAATAAAATATTAATCTTAATGAATGATAATTTTAATATTTAATAAAATTTGATTTTAGACTTAAAAAATTTTATAATAATAATTTATAATTATTATATATTGGAACTAAGCTTTTATTTATATGAATGATCTATTATAATTTTTTATTTATTAATTTATTAAGGTTAATTTATTATATTATATTATATTTTCTTCTATGCAATAAATATATCCAATATTTATATGATAAACAAAATATGTAGATAATTATCGTATATGCAAATCATATAAAATATTCTCAAAGCATTGCGTTCTTTCATGAATAAAGAATAAAAATAATTTATAGCGAAACTTGAAAAATATGATTATTGCAAAAACATTATTCTCGATTATATTATATAAAATGTAACGCATAAACAGTTGCTTAATATGCACATATTTCGCAAATTGTATGAAAAAATTTCTGGAATCATTTTACGAGTGTAAGACGTAGTTTCAAATACTCATAAATTATTAAATTTATGCAAAATATTTCTTAATTAATTTTCATTATATGAAAATTTCATTTATGATTTCATTCTTATGTGAAATAGGATTGGAATGGAATTTCAGTCAACAATATTTCTTAAATAATTCAAAAGTTCATTATATATTTTAAATAATATTTTAAATGTTTCTTTGATCATGTAGTATCTATAGATCATATATCTGGGCAAATATTAACTAGTCATCAAATATTAACTAGTCGAGTTAAACTATCATGATGACTCGAAAAAAATAAATGTAATCTCATCGTTTAATTTATCCATCATTTATCCAATCAATTATCATGTCAAAAAATATTTTCTTCTCGATTTTCCTGCAAATTCAAAATATTGAAATTTAAATAAAATCGAAAAATTTCGGTATATTAACAATCTATGATAAATTATATATCGGTTGACAATAAATTGATAAACATCATCATTATTCAAATAAAGTTCAACGAATATCACGATTGGAAATTGATTTAATATTTAAATTTTATCAAATTATAGAAAGAAATCAGAAATAAATTAATAATAAAAAATAGTATTTACTGCTTTTCATGCAATTAATTTTTTTTTTAATTTTTATAATTTCATATTAAATAGAATGATCAAGTAACATGTATAATTTTTAAAATTTGCTTGTAAAACTTCATTTGTTTTATTATTAAATTTATTGTTATAAATTATGCAAAATTTCAATAATAATATTAATCTAATTGCAAGAGGATTCATCAGTTATTCAAATTATTTAGTATAAAATTTCATCAGTATAAATATTTTATATGTATTTATATGATTAATAATATTTAAAAGAATTTTTTTATCTATTTAATAATTAATAATTAGATAATTTTTAATAAATAAATAATTTGAAGAAACACAACTTCTCAAACAATAATAAAAATTTTTTTATTATTATATAATAATTTATTCTATTATACAAGCATACATCAATTTAAAAGATAAAATTATTGCAGATTTTTCAATATAGACATATCAATCTGAAAGATAAAATCATTACAAATTCTTCTTATATAATTTCAAAATTAAAATAAATTCTCAAAAATAAATATACTTTTAAAATAACATACTTATTTATATTAATATATATATTTATATAATATTAAATACTATATTATAAATAATATGTATAAAATTTTTGTATAAAATGAATGTATAAAAATTTTGAAAAGAAACTTATGTTTCACATTAATATTATATTATTACGCAATTACATTTGCAAACATTGTAAAGAAAACTACTGAAAAAAAAAAAAAAAAAAAGAAAATGCAGGGCCAATAAAAATTAAGATGATCTTTTTTTTGATTAGTTAGATTGTATATTAAATATTCATTTCTCGATTATAAATTTTAATTAATAAAAAAATGGAAAATAATAAAATAAAAGCAAAATCGAGGTAATAAAATTTAATATTATTATGCCAAGATGTATTTCGAGTTTGATATTAGATGAATTTTAATAAAATATGGATTTGAAATGAAGGAATGTGTTTGATATAAACATTATAACAACATTCAAGACTATTTCAGCAGAGGTATAAAAGATTCCCGTACATTGTACATCATTTATTACATGTAAAATTTTAATAAGAATAATAATCAAAATTTTTGTAATCTTTTAGATAAATGAACTTCAATCAAATTAATTTCAAATTTTTTATTAATTGAATAATATTAAATGAATAACGCGGCAATATTTTTTAAACGATTCAAAAATAGTTCTTGTCAATGTTCTTTCTATGGTCTAATATTAATAAAAAACAAATTTTAATTTCCATAAATTAAATAATTAGTAATCTGAAACGCTCGATAAAAAAATCTCTCAATAAAAATTTACTAAATGTTATTTTTCATATACAAAAATTATTTTCAAATATATATATATATATAATTTTATTTATTTTAAGAAAGTATAGAACAAGATTTTTATAAATTTATTGTTATTAATTTATTATTAAAACTATTATATTTATCAAAGTTAAAGTTTCATAAATTTACTAAAATACATCAAAAATAAAAAATTTTGAGACCTAATTTTTTAGCATATTTTTAATGAATTTTAAAAACTATAGAATTTTGAAATTAAATAATTTTTCACTATTCAAATGTCTTAATTCAATAATCAACAACTTTAAAATTTATTTGCATTATTTATTTCAAATAATATAACCTTCATTTTATTGAAATTATTTTTTCTTTCTTGTTCATTATTTTCACTTCAAACAAAAATCATCTTGATAAAACATAAAATCCTTAATATCCATTACTCATACAAAGAAACGCGAACGAATTTATCATAAAAACTAATACATACTTTAAATGCCACAAATATTAATAAACAATACATCGAATGTACAAATTTTCAACAATCATGCAATATCCAATAAAAATTATTATTATTATCGACACGATTAATCAATCTCCCATTCAATTGTAACAAAAATTAATCACTTCAATGATAACAATGATATAACTTTAATGATAGCACCAACACATAACTTTCTGAACTACTGCTTGGTTCTTCCAAATAAAAATGAGTGCGTGATCGACAAAGAACCTAAGAAAACAAACTACACCCTCACGTATGCACGATTCTTGGACAATCGAGAACCATCCATACAGTAGATAAAGAGCGTCAATTATGAGCAGAGATTGGTTGGATCACCGTCTACCTCACGTCAACACGTTGCACACGTTGCCTGCTGGTACAGGTTATGTGCTGATATATAAAACTCGGTTTTCATTGCGGAACTTCAGTTTCTACGAAGGTAGCTAGACACGAACGTACTCTCTTTGACACGAAGAATCAAATCGATATCTCGATAGTTGTAAACCACTTTCAAGTTTTTTTCAACTGTAATTCGTGAATAAGAAGCGATCAATATTTTTCGATTTTCCGCTATCATTGATATAGAAAGCAAGTTAAATAGATCACAGTGAGTATATATAAAAATTCGGTTATGTATAAAAATTATGGTATGCATCAAGTTTAATTTAAAAAGATCAAAGAGTTTTTGTGTTCGATTGATGTTTAAACAAAAAGTTTAAAGATTTACAAAATATAATTGTACCGTATATTTTGATGCGAGCGTTAAATGATTGATTTATGAACAAATATATATGAGTATCATCATATCATAAAGTAAATAGGATCGGTAATAAATGATTTAAAAAGAAAGTGCATTATTATTTATATAACATATGATATTTTATAAATACAGTGTTAAATATATTTCAAACAGAAAAGTAAAATAATTTTTGAAACAATTTCGATAAAATAAAATATTTTAAAGTTATTTCACAATTACTTTAATAATGGATATATATAAGGAAAATATTTATTGTACTATACTAAATTATTAATTGAAGTAATAATTTTTTATTATATTTTTATTTTTCAAGACTGTATAGTTATAAAATTTCATATATAATTGCTGATTTTTGTATAGAATTGTTTCACACAAGAAATAAAAGAATCTTATTAAATTTAGACAAATTTTGTCATTATTGAAAATCCAAAATGATGTGAAATAAACTTGGATGAAATTTAAATATTTCAAATAATAATTTATGAATATACTTCATAGAACATTTTAAAAATAAATCATTTCTCAAAGAACTTCAAAAAAATAGTCTCAAAATAAAACGTAGTTTTATAAAATTTTTCGAATCCAGATTTAATCTAATAAATTATTTATTTTACGAAATCTAAAATTTAATAAAGCATAAATCTTTACGCAATATGATCTATTTAAGACGGTATCTGTAAAATTCTAATTATGTTTAATTACCGCTAAATATCAAAATTATTTTAATTGAATAGTTTACCGTACAATCTCAAATTACTCTAATTGCAGACTCTCCTGCGTTGAATAAATATTCTTGGTTTACCATTCACTATAATATGACTGATAAATTATTTAACTGAAATTGAAACATTTATATTTTCTTTCTCAAAAATTATTAATCTTATTTCGATAATGGCGGATAGAATTCAATAATAGAGAATAACAATTGAAAATATAATTCATTTAAATTTGGATAATTTGTTAAAAGAAAAATTTTAGAATTACATAATTGAATATTCTATAGAAAAATTATAGAAAAAAAAAAAAAGAAAAATATGCATGTTCACAAAATTTGATAAAATATAATAGACACATCGATCGATTTATTATTATTATTCATGTATAGATTAAAAATTTTTATTATTTATTAATTTATATTTGAAATAAATTCGAGTATACAATATACATTTAATACGATACAAAAGTATATTTGAATAATTTATTTTTATTATATTAGTATTAAATATTATATATCAGGTTAAAATTAATTATATTAACAAAACATTTAGCAGATTCAATTTCAATACTATAATTTTTCTCTTTAAATTATTTTTTTTTTGTTTTCAAATTTTTTTTTATCTTTACTACTATAAATATTTAATATTTCAGATTGGCATTAAATTTTTCTTTCTACTAATTTTTCTTAATCATTTCAAATTCATTTTTGTCGTTGTTCACGAAGTGTACAACATTTCAATAATACGTTTATATTATAATAAATATTTTATGATTCTTAAATAGATGTATTTTTTAAATTTCTTTCAAACATACATGTTTATACAATCAACCGCGTTTACTTATTAATTATATCTTTATAAAAATTTTATACAAATATTATATCTATTCATGCAATTTCCCCCCTCCTCCCCCCCCCCCGTCGAATGAAGAATATTCAAGTAATTTTTTCAGCCGCTATTTAAAATATATTTCCGTTTGCATTTTATTCAATGTTCGTGTAACATCTCGTCAGTTTAACATCTCGTTCTTTCTAAAAACATCAGATATGCAAAAAACGATTGAAGGAAAATGCGCAAAAGCTGGTCATTGTATCGTAAATAAATTTTCAATTCAGAAATCAAATCGATGAAAATTTAAATTTTCCAAGAATAAAAAAGTAATTTTTTAAAAAAAAACTTTCAATGGATTAAATCATCATATTTATTTTACAATTTTATATATATCCATAAAAATTTTAATTACAATCAGCGTAATAATTAGTAAATAAATTAAGCCACCTCTTTCGTATTTACATAACATCTAAAATATAATACGTGCTTTCGTGTTTATTTTAGCATCGATCTCTAATTTTTATTATAAATTTGAATAATCTCGCTTCCGATTATTTCGTCGACCGCTGAAATTTTTAAAAAATCTCATCTCGTTCACGTTTCTAACATTTGATCAGCCTTTTAATCCTTTCAATACCGCAACACCACCGCCATTGTCTCAATGGCAACGCAAAGGCGTTGGCCGCTTTCTTTGCTTAAAAAGATAAAGACACGAGGATGCACCTGACTGGACAGCAAATAGTGTTTAATGAGCGTGGAATTGGCAGGAGAGCAGCGATTTCAATTGCATTACGCGAACGCGACTCGATAGACTTATAGATCTCCCGTTTTACATTGCAAATATATAATCGATTCGCGCGAAATGCGTCTCCTCCATTCATCGAGAACCGTGATTGATTTAAGCGCGTGGAAAACGCGTTTCTTGGAAATTAATGTGATAAAAATGTGGGAAACCAAAGACGGACAATGAATAATTCTGTAAAAAATGTTGTATAATCGAGCATAGATCCATTATTTATCGAGCAAGGCCGGTCTTTTTTGTTCTTTTCCTTTTGTTTCTCGTCCAACTTTGTATTTCATTTGCTGAATATGGCAACATTAATCTTTCCTTCTTGTCTCCCATAGTTGAAATGTTTATTCGGCATATACTTAGTTTTCAGTGTGTATATCGAAGGATTGAGATAAAAAAAAAAAAAAAAGTAATTGAATAAAATATAAGTGCAGAAAAAGTGTAGGAAAAAATTCTATCTAAACAAAGTTGGAAAACTTCGTTTGATTGTATCTAGAATCATCATCTAATTTATTTTAAATGAGAAACATCGTTTCAATGAAAATAAAAAGAAAAATGCTTTAATATAACATTTTATTAATCAAGATAACACGAAATGTTGATAGATCTTCAAATTGGGATTATCATTTTCTTTGTCTTTTAGCTAGGAAAAAAGACAAAGGAAAAAATGAGAATTCAAATTTCTGAAGAATTTTATCTATGTTCTTATAGATGGTCTTAATAATGGTCGAAATATATATATATATATATGATAAAAGTTGTACAATCGATCTAACTTGCCGATTAGTTATTTTTAGTGGGATTTATAATGTTTTGAATCTGAATTCAAAATTTAATAACCGCTTAAGATCTCGATTTCGATGATAAAAATCTTCGATGATTATTGATAAATTAATAATACTTAACACTTGCGTGCTGAATTTTTATTTCGAAATTTCGAATATCTGACCATAGAAATTTCATCGAAACACTTTGAAATCTGATCGGTTTTTACATTTGATCAATTTTAACATTTTTCCCCGCGTAACTGTAACTGCAAAAGATTCACCACTAAAACAACGCAAACAATGTAATTCGATTCGAGATCAAGTGTTAGTGAGGCAGTGCTAATTAAAAAATTAAAGAACAAAATCATTTTTTATTTCCAATGAGTTTTCTTTCCAATGAAACTTTTACCAACGCATTTTTTTTTTTTTTTTATTAAAATTTTTATCAATTTCTTTTTATTGGAATAAAGGCAGGCGCAATATCACTTTCTTTCTTTTTGTCAAAATTATATTGTTTTTTGATCTTATTTTTGATTAAAAAAAAATTTCCACAAATACAGCATGATAAATATTTCATCGTCAAAGAAGAAAAAAACCAAAAAACAAAATGTTCTATAACTGTCGCGTTGAAGAATTGCCTCGTCGACTTTCGACTGTCTTTCTCTTTCGCTTAATTCCCTTTCACTCTCCTTCATTCATTCTCTATTCTCGAGAGAGAGAGAGAGAAAAAAAGAAAAACACACAATGTAAACACACTTCAGAATCCAATCGAGTCATATCAGTAAGTAAAGATCGATGTATATTTCTGTTCGATAGCTAAAATATTTAACTACACATGTACTATTCTGTAATTGTATGTGCATTGAAATCAGTTATTTTTGCGATGCTGCGATTTTAAATTCAACTGATTTTATGTTTCTTTGTACATTGGTATGCGTATATACCAATGCATATATGCATAGATGCATGTTGGTTAAGAGACGAGATGCTTTAAAACGAAAAAAAAAAAAAAAAAAGTGGAAAAACAAATAAAGAGTAGCTAATGATACGTTGATGAAGAATAAGGTGATAAGAATCGGTCCATGAGCTTCTTCGAACGTTTTTTCTTTTTTTTTCTTTTTCTCAAGGTTGTTCCTCTTGTTGAACTTTAAACTCAACTTTAGATTTCGTTTGACATTATTTTTTTTTTTTCTTCATGATTATCATCTCGTTATCGTATTATCGTTAGAAAAAAATTGTTTTTTGCCAACTGTAGCATTCGTGTATTAATGCAATAACAAAACAAAAGAATAAAAATGCATATACATATATTAAATGCAAATAAAACAAAATAATATATTATCAAGTATATTATGATAATAACATTTGTTTTAACATATTCCTAATTTAATATTCATTTTTTCTCTTTCATTCAAATTAGCGGAAGTTATTTTGTCCATTTAATCTTAACTGCGAATAGTAAAGAGAACGCTAATTTGTAATAATATAATATAACAATATGATAATGTAATGATATGTAATGTAATGATATAAAGTATAATTATATATTATAATACGCATTTATGAAATATTTAAAAATGTAAAAATGCATATGTAAAATGCATATAATGTGGAAAAATATATAAAACAATATATATTCATTCTATTATTTAATAGATGATGATTAATAGATAATATCTGTGGTTTCTATTTTTTTCTATTTTATTGTTTACAAAAATATAATTTTATATTTATAAAACATTTGCAGTTTGATGATAAAAAGATTAATAGATTTTTATAATCAGTATAAATGTTTATTTCAAAATTCAATTTCACTAGTTAATATGATAAAATAGCTTTATCATTTTAACATGATGAAAATTATGTATTACTTATTCTATATCCTTAATAGAAAATTTGTACCTTTGATATGAGATGATCAATATAGTTTTTGCATATATTGAAAATATATGGTATATTTAAAATTCTTATTGTATTTAAATGTACAAAATTGAATTCAACATTATTTGTTGTTAATTGAACTGAAACAAATAAGGAATGTATATTTACAATTGGAAATCATGTATGATAGTATAAAAAAAATTTTTTGCATATAATTTATCATTTAGTTTTATTTATGATTTTTTTTTAAATGTTTTTTACTACAACTAAGAACAATAAAGTATGCCTATAATTTTAAATATAATACATGTATCTAATTTTAAATCTTGATAATTATTGCTAATTTACATCTATTATCTTTACAAGTTCTTATAAATAATTCTTTATTTTCCTGATTTTTATATTGTCTAATACATACCTAAGCTGTTTTAAATACATCTGAGTCGCGCTTATAAGCATAATTTTATTTATTTGCATACAGTGATATACAGTGTGTCGATATATTTTTGAAATCTTTGGGATTGATTTTACTGACTAAACAGATACAAAAATTAATGTATAAAAATCGATTGAGGTTTATTTATTAAATCAAAAGCAATTCGCATTAAATGAAATAGAATAAATAGCAAAAAATAGCAAAATAGAAACAAAATGGGAGAGAAATAGAAAATAGAATCTTACTTTATTTTGTTTTTGTTGTCTTAATTATCAGAAAGGTTATCGTTATAAATTTCTGAATCAATATATATATATATATATATTATAAGACAAAATACAAATACTTTTTCTATTTCATTCATAAGAAATTTTTTTCTCTCTCTTCTTTTATACGAGTCAGTGAACCAAATAGAATTGAGAAAAAGTTGCCAATAATTCTCAGAATAATTACATTTGTCTCAATCCTTGCGATATTTATCCGAGCATTACTCTGCAATAATAATAACACTTAAAATCATTATAAAAAAATGTAATAGGATCACCAATCTTTGGTAAAAACAATTGAGAAACACTGATCTAAAATTTCAGAAATAACAACAACAACATTTGAGTCGATATCATTACAAATAAATACGATCGATTATGTGATAAAAAGATTAAGAAACATTGATCTAAAAGTTTAGTAATAATATTTATTAAAATTAAATGAGGTGGAGGAAATGCAATAAAAATAATAATGATAAACTTGAGGTATAGTAATCTGAATTTTTTTGCAAGAAAAATGCGTTTCCTCCATCGGTATTGCAGTTAGTGAGATCACGTCTCTTTCCAATTACAATAGTTGCAGATCGTATTGCAAAATCGATGGTCGAATAAACGTGTCGCTTTTTCGGTTCTTGGGGAAACTCGCCGGTTGCTTGTAATTTGTTAAATTTCGCAAGGAACTATATTGAAAGTCGGTTTTGTCTTGCAAAATTTCTGCCCACGAAAAGAGACAAAAGATAGTACCTGATTTAAAATGACATTATTTGAAACAACATATTATTCATGATCATATTACCTCATATAGTTATTTAAAATAATAATATGAAATAATTTTAAATAATTTTAAATATTATTTCAAATATCATCTTATAAGTAGAAACAAAAACAATATTAAAAGTTAAAAAACAATGTAAATGAAGTATTAAATTATTTTAAATTTTTTTAAAATTATAAGAAAAAATTGAATGTATGAAAAATTTGAAAAATTGAAGATATTAAATTGTTATGTACTTTTCAGATCTTTAAAGTTAATAGAGTAATTATATTTATAGGATATAAATATAAATAATATAATATAAATTTGGCTAATATTATACAATTTTATCATATATAAAAATTCTAAGATTGTAACATTTTTTGAATTAATTTTATCAAATTAAATTCTTATTCAAATAAATATTTAAACGAAATTTTTATTTTACTTTTTTTTGTTATTTTATTATATATTTTATACATTATTTGAATAATAATTATTAATATTAATCAAATATTGATAATTTATATAATAATTTTAATTATTAATAATTAATATTAATAAAAAAAACATATAATAAATTTGATTTACATTATGTATTAATGTAGATAATAAATAATATTATATATGATTTATAAAATATATATTATATGAGATATTTTTAAATAGTATTTATTTATTGAAAATTTCTTTTTTTAATATTTGTTTCAGCTTATTTATCCCAAATTATGATATCTATTTTTTCTATTTATAAAGAAATTTATTATCTTTTATTTTCTATTTATTATTTAGAGTAATCAACAATTTAAGTAATCATATTAAAATAATCTTATTTTTTGAATAAGATTAAATCAAATTTAAATTTATTCATGTACATTTTTCAATTTCAAATAAATATATTTCATTTTTATTTTTTATTTTCATTTCAAATAAAAGATGTCCAATTTTGTATAGATTTTCTAACCTATAATAATAAAAATAATAATAATAATCATAATATAATATGTAATAAGTTTTAATATATAATAATAACACTTTTATCATTTGATCACTTATTCATATCTCCAACAACATATAATTCTTATCGTAGAATAATTTTTTACAATGTAACAAATATACTATGCTACGTATAGCACTTACCATAATAAAATAATTCATTCACTATTGAAAGATATTATATATATTTAAACACTATATAACATTATGTATATAAACGCAAAAATTTTTGATCTAGTTCATAAGAGATGTTCATGTTACCACTTTCGCAGTCGTAATACGTTCAAAAATTTCAGTGAAAGGATTGACTGAATTTTAACTTTTCGTGGCGATGTTGATCTATAGATTCTCAAACCGTTGTCCGCGTTGGACGAACCGTAGATACGCGCGAACAGCTTTACTTTTTAAAATATAGACAATATCTGGAAAAGTAGATAACGTGTAGAGTGTAACGTATGTCTCATTAATATTTACAAATCGTGTGAATTTTATATTTAAGTGATTAACTGAACAGTGTGATTGATTGATATATCAGATAATCAAGAAAGTTTTTAGCATTTTTTTTTTTGTGATAAAAGAGGAAAATATAAAAGAGAAATATATAAAAAGAATTTATTAAATATTAATTAAACATAACATTGCATAATTGAACATATAAGTAATTGAAATTTAATGATAATTCATATTTTTAATATAATTATTTGTTAACATTTACAATATATTTGTAATAGAAAAAGATAAAGTTAAAAAATTATATAAATGACATATAATTAAGTATAAAATGCTAAAATAATTATTTTTGTCTATTAAGATTATAGATATATCAGTTTTATAACTTTGGAAAGTGAAATATTTCCTATTTTTGATTTTACAAATAATATTCAATAAGAAATTTTTAAATGTAATTCTTTATACGTTTCAATTTAAATTTCAATCATCATTTGCAGCTGTTGGTAAAACAGTATTTTATAAATGTTTATTTTATTATATATTTCTCTATTATGCAAAAAGTATGGGAAAATTTTATCTAATAAAACTTTCTTTAAAACTTATTTATCTAATAATTTAATATCTCTGAATAATTTTGTGATCAATGAAATTATTAATGTTTTTTTTACTGATGATTGATTGTGATGACAAACATTACTACTAATAATTGATAATAAATCAAATCAATAAAATTTGCAAATAATAAAATTATAAATTTATAAAATTTATTTTAATTTATAGATGGCGCAGCTTGTAATGGCAATATACGATGAATACCGCAATCTGATGGACAACAAGAGCGATCCCAGAGTCAACAACTGGTTCATGATGAGCAGTCCATTTCCAACCTTATTCATTTGCTTATTTTATGCCTACTTCGTCAAAGTTTTGGGTCCTAAACTCATGGAAAATCGGAAACCTTTTGATCTTAGGAAAATTTTGCTATTTTATAATTTATTTCAAGTGATATTCTCCACATGGCTATTTAACGAGGTATGAAAATTCGTTACACAAATCTTTAAATCTATATAATGAACAAAAATATTTAACAAACAAAAATTTTACAACAAAGATCAAAAAAAGAAAAATTTAGAAATGTTGTCTTGCAAATATTTAAAATAAAACTGACAAAAGCAAAACAATACTGTAGTTCGTTACAAATAAATTGTGACACAATCGTTTTATTTCACTTTGCATATTTCGTGTCTGGAATTTTACTTTATTTCATTTGCATTATTTTATTCTATTCTGTATATTTTATTTTGTTTAATTTTTTTTCTTTTGTATCATTCTCTCAATCTTTACATTCCCTTTTTTGTGACTTTTATTATATCAAAAAATTTTTTAACATTAAATAAATAAATATTAGTTATTATTATTATTAGTAATAATAACAGTAGTAATATTATTATTATTATTATTTCGAATTGTTAATAAATTCGAGTATCTGATAATAAAAATTTGATTTTTAGATGTAAATTTCTACTTATAAAGATAAAATCATTATTCAAGTTTTAGATACAAAATAATTGTGAAAAAATAATTTGTATTTAAGTAAGTTTATATTTTCATTTTTTAAGTCTTCATAGAATTGAAGAGAGTTTTTTGAAAAAAATCTGTAAATATTATAAATGTGACTGTTAATAAATAATATATATTTATTGACAAAGACAATTGTTTTAGATAAAAAAAAAAAATAGACAAAAAAATGTAAAGATAATAAAAAAAAATGGAAAATTTTGATGAATCAAAAATTTGATTTTAATCATATCCATTTAATAATAAATTTCATCGTTTATTTAATAATTATTTTATTATCCACCAAGTTTTGGTACTAATAAGTTTAACACTTTTTTGTTACTTTCATATCTTTAAAGTGTATATCTAAATATTTTTAATTTATTATTATTTATATAATAAGATTTTAAAATCCTATCAATTCTTGAAAATAGAAGCTTGAAGTGACTGACTCAAGTATTATAAAATAAACGAAATTTGATTTTTTATCTCACTTTCTCTTTTTCACTCAACTTGAACTCATAGAAGTCATCTGCCCGGATAAATGTTTAGATTCGTGCTGTAATTACATTTTCAAGAAAGAAAATTATACAAGTTTAATATTTGCAACTGTTATAAAAATAATTTGAATAACAGTGCACGATTAAAAATGGGATAAAATTATTTGATGAAAATTTTATACATAATACATATTTGTTCGCAGAGTTTGTTAGCAGGATGGGGAGGTCATTATTCCTTCCGTTGTCAACCGGTAGATTATTCAGATAATCCATTGGCAATTCGAATGGCAGAAGGTTGTTGGTGGTACTACATCTCAAAATTTACCGAATTTTTGGATACGATATTCTTCGTGTTGAGAAAGAAGAACAATCAGATCACGACTCTACACGTAATCCATCATGGATGCATGCCGATGTCTGTTTGGTTTGGCGTTAAGTTCAGTCCTGGTTAGTATTTATCAATTTGATTTTTTCTACCTAATTTTTGAAATTAGGTTTGCATTTGAAATGTAAATGATTTGCATGTAAATGAATCAATATTGGGCATTTTTTTATTTGATTTAAATGAAATAAAGAATATATTAAAAAAGGCAAAATTTTAATTCAATTAATTGTCAATTAAATAAAAATATTATATACTTATTTTCATTCGTTAACACACCCAATTCCATAATGAAAGAAAATATAACATTATCTATTAGGAGATCAAAAACAAACGAAATAAATTTTTACTTATAAAATTATTTACACGAAATTTTCATTTTAATTTTGTACACATATATTTTTATATATTATTTTATCTTAAATAATTGATAATAATATAATAATACACTACTTCAAGTCTCTTAAATATCCTTTTAATTTCAATCAGATATTCCTCTTTACACTAAACAGCATTTATTTTATTTTTCTTTTAATGAGTCTCTCGCGAGCTATTTCAATTTTGCAATATTATGAAAACACCCTATATATATATATAAATTTATAGAATATATTTCTTTTATTATATATTTATTTCGATATAATCATTTCTTTCTATTCATTTTCACTTATTTTCATTCGAATAAAAATTCTACTCAATTCTAAATGCTATCAATCTAATGACGCAAAAAAATTTCTCAACACGCTCAAAATTCGAAACTCGATTACGATCCAACTTTCGTTTACAGGCGGACACAGCTCGTTCTTCGGCTTCCTCAACACGTTCGTGCACATCTGGATGTACGCCTATTACTTCTTAGCCGCTCTCGGACCAAAAGTGCAACGCTTCCTCTGGTGGAAGAAATACCTGACCAGCATGCAAATGATTCAATTCATCCTTGTGATAATCCACGCATTCCAGCTTCTCTTCATCGAATGTAATTACCCGAAAGCATTCGTCTGGTGGATCGGCATGCACGCCGTTATGTTCTACTTCTTGTTCCGTGATTTCTATATCCAAGCGTATAAGAAGAAGCACTCTTCCGCATTAAAGAAGGAACTGAAAGCAGAGAAACAGAAGAATGAGCAGAGTGGTAGTGTGAAGGAGAACGGCACGATATACGCCAACGAGTGCAAAATGGCAACCGGATACATTTCCGATAATGGACTTAGGAACCGTGTGTTTATCGACAATCGCGGCTTCCAAAAGTAAAAAATCGTGAAAATAATTACCTATGCATCGTATTTCGTGAATTCACAAATGTAAATTTGTATCCATAACGATATGATGATAGCCGGTCTAACCAATATATAAATTTTAAAGAGTAAATTTTAATGACGATTCTAAATCGTAGATCTTGGGTTGCAAGAAGTTGATTTGGAAATTGAAGAAAATGTCAAATTTCATCCCTTAAGATTAAAAGATTCAAGATTTAAGATCAAGTCAAAGCGCGAGACTATAATCATGTTTACGAGGTGGCAAATTATTTGATGACAAAGAGATTAATTAATTGCTCAAACAGTTTCAACTCCTCATGAGTAATCTTGGAATTAAAAAGTTAAAAATTGTAATTGTTTGATGAAAGAAAGATCAAATGAAGACAAGAGCTCAAATAATTTCAAATTGCCATGAGTAATTTTGAAATTCCGATTATTTGATGATAAACAAGATTAGTTGATAAGATACTCAAATAATTTCAAACCGATTATAATTAATATCTAGATTTAAAGATCTGTTTCTTCTCTCATTGTTTGAATTTTAACACAATATTACTAATTGATTAATTTGCTTTTTTAAGATTTAAGACTTAGGATCTATTGTAGACCGACTGTGATCAAATTTATCACAATTTGATACGATGTCAAGGATATCACATGAATATGACGCGTTCCTTTCTTTCTTTGAATTTTTCGGCTTGTCTATTGATTATTATATGAAATATATTTAAGTGAAATTCTTCACACGTTTTGTGTGCTTGCAGATGTATGTCTTTATATGAACATGACTGTATCGGTGAATGTATGAGAATTAGAGTAAGGAAGATGTGAGGAGGAGACGTGGCGGCAATACACCGCTACAAACTTAACTCGTCGTCTAGTTAAGATTACGAGAATTGCCAAAAAAATTTTTGTTTTCTTTTTAAGGCTTTTATTATGAAACTTGTAAATTATGTCAATCGTGATGAAGTTCAAAAATTGCGTGCAACGAAACGAGTCAAAGAAATCAAACTCGTTAACTTTTCTTCAATTGTTCATTCGAAAAAATTAACATCGTATCTTATATTTTTGGAATTTAATTTTCTTAATTTAAGAATTTTTGAGAAAATAGAGTTGATTAATTTGACTTTTAAATAGCTCAAAATTACGTTACAAGCAATTTTTACAAAAC